CCTGGGAGCCGGGGGGCCTGGGAGCCGGGGGCCTGGAAGCCTGGGAGCCTGGGAGCCTGAGGGGCCTGGGAGCCTGGGAGCCGGGGGGCCTGGGAGCCTGAGGGGCCTGGGAGCCTGGGAGCCTGGGGGCCTGGGAGCCGGGGGCCTGGAAGCCTGGAAGCCTGGGAGCTTGGGAGCCTGGGAGCCGGGGGCCTGGGAGCCTGGGGGCCTGGGAGCCTGGGGGCCTGGGAGCTTGCGAGCCTGGGGGCTTGGGAGCCTGGGGGCCTGGGGGCCTGGGAGCCGGGGAGCCTGGAAGCCTGGGGACCTGGGAGCTTGGGAGCCTGGGGGCCTGGGAGCCTGGGGGCCTGGGAGCCGGGGGCCTGGAAGCCTGGGATCCTGGGAGCTTGGGAGCCTGGGGGCCTTGGAGCCTGAGGGGCCTGGGAGCCTGGGGGCCTGGGAGCCGGGGGCCTGGAAGCCTGGGAGCCTGGGAGCCTGAGGGGCCTGGGAGCCTGGGAGCCTGGGGGCCTGGGGGCCTGGGAGCCTGGGGACCTGGGAGCCTGGGAGCCTGGGAACCTGGGAGCCTGGGAGCCTGGGAGCCTGGGGGCCTGGGAGCCTGGGGGCCTGGGAGCCTGGGGGCCTGGGAGCCTGGGGGCCTGGGAGCCTGGGAACCTGGGAGCCTGGGGGCCTGGGGGCCTGGGAGCCTGGGGACCTGGGAGCCTGGGAGCTTGGGAGCCTGGGGGCCTGGAAGCCTGGGGACCTGGGAGCCTGGGAGCCTGGGAGCCTGGGGGCCTGGGAGCCTGGGGGCCTGGGAGCCTGGGGGCCTGGGAGCTTGCGAGCCTGGGGGCTTGGGAGCCTGGGGGCCTGGGGGCCTGGGAGCCGGGGAGCCTGGAAGCCTGGGGACCTGGGAGCTTGGGAGCCTGGGGGCCTGGGAGCCTGGGGACCTGGGAGTCTGGGAGCCTGGGAGCTTGGGGGCCTGGGAGCCTGGGAACCTGGGAGCCTGGGGACCTGGAAGCTTGGGAGCCTGGGGACCTGGGAGCCTGGGAGCTTGGGAGCCTGGGGGCCTGGAAGCCTGGGGACCTGGGAGCCTGGGAGCTTGGAATGCAGGGTGGCTTGGCGAAGTCCTGCAGGTAGCTTGAAGTGCTGACTTGACGACAAAAAGGG